AGACTCGTCCATCATCAGCAGACCAGAAATAATCATACGGGCAAAATCTATCATCGAATTATTACCTCGTTTTAAGAATATGTCACAAATATGATGTGCCTTTCCTTCCATTTGGTGGAAATGTTTGAAACCAGATTTATTACAACAAATTAAATGACTTTAATATAGGAGCTGAAGGAGGCTACGTTATAAATGATTTATTAATGCAACACAATATCTGTAAATAACGTGCACCTAATAAAACAACACGGGATATTTTTTTTAACTGCAGTTTCACGGCCAAAATTTTAATTGCATGTAAGTAAAATTAATGTGCTCTTAGATTTACCTGCAAACACAGTGATAACACTGGCTGCTTGTATTGATTAAAGCCGTAATAACGAGTATTTGATTTTAGGCTCCTGAAAGCACTCGAATGAACAATTGTGGAGTTTTATCATTGTACGTTTAAAATAATACCCATTGTGATAAAACAAGACACAACACATGCACTCACTCACTCACTCGAGGATGATGATGACAGCGACAGCCTTTAAACACAAAGTGGCCCTGATGTCACAGCCACCCTTGTGCCGAATTTGGAGACCACGTGAAGTGGCGAATGCTCACTGGCAGAAGGTCACGTGGCAGACACAGATGTTACGAGTTAACCGGGATTACTCACACTCCCCACAGCATCAACGCCTCGCTGTGTTTCTGTCGCCCGACGCTCCGATCGTTGTTGTGCGCATCGCTCCTCCAGTTCCCATCACTGACAGTTATCCAGCAGCATCTTTGAATTGGCCTCCTCCACAGAGAGGCAGACCTCGTCACCGTCTGTACCAGTCATCTGGAAATCTACTCGCCTTCTCCTGGTTCACATCGGCCCATCTGTTCTGTAACCTGCGCCAATCCCAGCCTGCATAGCTCCACCTATCCAGCCAAAGAGGATGCAGACACGAACACGCGTGTACACGTGCTAACATGAAAACCCCCTTGCTTGAACTAGTAGCTTCACTCACTCGTAGAGGCCACACCATTTGAGTATATGGAAAACTTCAGACTTTTTAATAAAATGCATGCTTCCTGTGCGGTACAATGATCTAAATGTCACTCTGAATCATCTAAATGTCATAGTTTAGGAGTGCTGGTCAGATAACAGCCCCACACCTGCAATGCCAAGCAAGCCTGTAAATATACTAACCAGGCTTGAACCTTAGTTTCTGAAGAATCCTCTTGTGCGCCTAGTTTGTAGCCTGACACGGCAGGCATGGGTTTGATAAACATGCAATAACAGTTCGGAATGCAGCTCTCCATATATGTTATTTACAGTTGTATATGTTGATGTATTGTTTATTTCAGTGCAATTAATTGGTCATATTTTGTAAACAATTGCATATTGTAAAAACACTTTTATTTAAAAAATGTTTACAGGTAAAATTTTCAGCGCCTAGGTTGGTGCAATGAAAATGCCTCTATAAATTGTAATTATATCATTGCCATTCCACTGCCATTGTGTGATGGATCATAGCCACACTATAAAAATACGGCATTAACAAAAAGGGAAAAGTAATAGCATGCTGCTGCAGTATTAATGTTTTAATGCAGGATTGTGCTTTTCTGCATACACATGTAAAAATATATGAACGTAATTTTATTTATGCGGTAACATTACAGGGCCCTGTTTATGTGACATGTGATAATGCGATCGGCAGTGTTTCCAGAGTCCAGACTTGATTGCCAGAAAAATCATATTCCTGTGGATATAATTAAACCTTGGCCTTTTTACATTACTATTGAAATTGGCTCTCAAAGACGAACACCCATGTAAGCATTGCCGCACTCTGCAATTGCATTTTAGCTTCACCTAACGTGGAAAAAATTGTGAGTGTGTGGTGCGTGATGTGCGTGCGTGCTGATGAGATTCAACAGATCGAACCGCGCATGTCTGTGCTCTCAGGTCCGAGCCAAACACGTACAATGTGTGTGTGCCTGCAAATATATTAGCTTGTGTACGTGTATGAGTATACACGTACACATTTACACATGTATGTGGATACATATGTGCGCGTGTTTGAACTTGTATGTGCGTGGACATGGGGAGCGATAGTGTAGTAGCGGAGAGCGTGCTGCACTACAAACCTGGCTTCCCAAATTTGATTTCCGCTCACGGACAACACCAGTAACGATTATCTGAATAGGCCCTGGGCCTCCCCTTGGTCGACTCAGTCTCAAATGAGTACGTGGTGCAGTATGTAAACATTGCTACAGGGGAGACAAAGGCGGTCGGGCGTGGTGCTGCTCACCCACCCCATCGTGTTTAGAAACTTGCATTTAGAGTTTTTGTCTGCTATACATTTCCACGTGATAAGCTACTTCGTTGAGCTATCATTTGTGGCCAAGTCACTTCTGAAAAATAACTAACTTAGTGGGCCTCACCTCTTAAAATAAAAATATTTATATAGTTCCGTGTACCATTCCAGCCTTAATAGGTGCTCGCATAATTAGCACTTGCCCCTAACAGTCTGTTAAAGGCTGGAGGGGGGATCTTTGTCTTTGCTAAAACAAACCAGAACGAACCGCCGTCCCTTCTGCATACGATGTAGCGATTAGCCGTGTGAATCGTATGTATGAGTCAGCCACTATATTCATTTGTGGTGGCCACGCATTTATAAAACAGATGTGGGGAATGCATATTTGTGCGTGCGTGTGTGTGCGCTTGCTGATGTGTGTCTGTTAATGAAACATATGGTAATATTAGTGGGGGGGGGGGCGGGGGGGGGAACAACACAAATATGATTAAGAAGAATGATATTGTTTACATCCACATTCATTTTCTTGGAATGGCCACCAGCACGGAGTTACGCAAATGTGTACCCAGCAGCGCCTGTAGTGCCTCTGTCGTGATAAGTGTGACTTTACATCATCCCTTAGCCCACTGTGAAGGACAGGCGAATATAAACATCAATTCTCAAAAGACGCACCACGTGGACTCGAAATGGTCTTTGAAAAAAGCACGCAGGTAGCAACGCTACGGTGCTTATCAACTTTTGCCGTGCCTAGGCTGGCTTTTGTCATATGAATGTTGCATTTTCCACTGCTGGTTAAGGGTTGCGAGTGGCATTGACCACGATGCCTTTTAATCAAGGAGTCACTCGGACACGTTTCTTAATGTGTGTGTGTATACTGTAATTATAATCGAGCGGTTAATTAGTGAGCGATGATTATCGCTCACTAATTATTGGTACGGTGATCATGATCGATCATGATCGCCGCACCAATAAAGCAGAGTCTTGTCAATTATCGCACTGAAGTGACATTCCATGGGAATGCTCTTTGCCATCACCACCGCCACCACCGCCACCACCGCCACCACCACCAGCACTGCCAACAGCATGACCACTGCCACCATCGACATCACTGCCACCACCGCTGCCAGCACCACCGTCACTGCTACCACCGCCACCACCACCACCACCGCCAGCACTACCACCAGCATGACCACTGCCACCATCGCCATCACTGCCACCACGGCTGCCAGCACCACCGCCACTGCTACCACCACCGCCACCACCACCGCCACCACCGCCACTGCCACTACCACCAGTGGCAAGCAAAGCCTTGCCTACGCTCCCAGCGCTCTGTGCGGGACGTCCACTGACGCCGTGCCACCATCACAGGCACATCAGGTCGGCATCGTCCCGCCGAGAGAGCGCCAGCGCGGCAGATCCACCGCGGCAAGGGCAGCTGCGGAGATGGAGCGCTGGCGGCGCAGCGGTGCGGGGGGCCGTCGAGCACGGCACCACCGGAGGGACCCTCGGCACTTAGCGCTTGAGATCGCTACGGGGCACACTCTCGTCTATTCTAAAGTGGAAACTAATCTAATCAGCGCAACATTGAGCGGTTTTATTAATAGTGTATTAGTCTATTTTCCAATGAGAAGGGTGTCCCCCTGATCTGACATAAACTGGATGGTGATTGCATTGTTGAAGCCGCGGTTCGTGTTATTGAAACGCGCCGCTTCACCCCGCGACCCCCGAGCAGGCCAATGTGTCCGCGCGTCATAGCCTCGTGCCTGCACATTAAAATTGCCCGTAATTAAACCGCAGATTTTTAATAAACCCTTTGCCAACTAGAAAATTAATCTCAGCGGGCTCTGAACTTGCTTAATAAATTACACGTAATTTAACCGACGAGTGCGGGGGGAGCTGTACATGTGTATTTGTTATTGTGTATTTCACTTCGTGATGGGCTGCGGCGGAGCGGCGACGCGGTCGTTAGCACACCGCACCACGAACCCGGTGACCTGAGTTCAATTCCCGAAACGTTGCCGCTTCGGTCAATTGACGCAATGACAAATGGGTCCATTTCCATTTTTCATTAACCTGCTCATCATCATGATCAGCCATGGTCTTATCCACTGCTATTACCTTCCCACGAGTACAATCCGTCTGACTCCTGTGCACCGAGCCAATCTTATCACCCCGTCCTGCACTGAATGTCTCCTTGGGCACGCTACCTCCTTTGGCTGCCACTCCGTCGTGAGTCTCGACCGCCGAAGTCATCGCGCCGTCAAGCGACTCGTTCGGCTCAAGCCTGCCTGCTGCTCTTTCACCGGCAATGCGATGCGCTCAACTCGCGTATTCTGTGCATGTTGGTTAGCGTGTGGCACTACGCGTGTACGCCTGCGTTGGTGGATATCTTTGTCTTTGTAGGTGGGGAGCAGTGGAGTAGTAGTTAACACACTGCGCTTTATGAGCCTGGCCACCCAATCTCGGTAGCCACATCGGTGATGAACATCTGACCAGTCCTCAGTAGACCCAGCTTTAAATTACTACCTGTTGTGGTGTGTAAACATCAGTATTAGGGAGGCAAAGGTGGCTGCATGTGGTATTGACCGCTCACCTCATCGTGTGCCGTGCCGGCCTTCGTAGGTGATTCTGGCTGACAGCACTTGCCCCAATGCTCCGTTAAATGCTACATGCTGGATCTTCGTCTTGTGTGCATGCGTGCGTGCATAGGTGGAGATGGCTGGCAGCAGCGCATTTGAGTACGTGCACCCCGCGGACCGCGGGGAGCTGGCGGAGCAGCTGGGCATGAAGCTGCCGTCTGGGCCCGGCACCCCCTCGCAGAGCGCCCTGGGGGCCGCGGAGGACGCGGCCAGCACGGCCTCCTCCTCCTCGCAGGCCGACGGCCTCGACCCAGGTGGGGAGCCTCTCATCGCAGCAGCAACAGCAGCAGCAGCAGCAGCAGCTCAAGGGGGGCCCTCTAGCACACCTTGCATGCCGGCACCAAGACGCGCCGTTGCGTTTAGAAGGAGCAGGATGGGAAAATGAAACGAACCGGGCTGGCACTGCCACTCAGGATGTACCGGTCACGCTGCCGTACAGTTCTCCGATGGTTTTCTTTTTTGGGTCATGCCGCTTGTCGTTCGGCACGATGTCCGACTTTTCTCTCCCAAGTGCCGGGAGCTTCGTCAGCGAGCTGAATTCTTCGACTTCCGTTCGCGATGTTCAACATTTTACTGGAAGATTTCTTTTTTCAGGAACTGAAGTCGAATGGAAATCGGCTTAGTTCCTGCAGAAGCGCCCAGCACGTGAAGCGAAACGTCAGACATAGGGCAGAAACGACGCACGTCGCAACCCAAACTCGCACCGGACAGCATATGGCGGTTGTGCTTCATGGCTCACTTGTGCCGTGGGCAAACGAGACATGCAGCGCTTATAAATGAATAGCAAGCCAGTTAACGCGAAGGGCTGTCTACGGTTCGAACGGAAGTTCCACCTATACACATGCAAACATGTGGCCGCGCAAAAAAAAAACCCAGCAAAGACGCCAATCAGTGCCGTAAATAAATACTTGGTTAAATTCGCTCATTAAATGACAAATCAGGAAATCGTTGGGTTTGCGAACTGCAAACCTCGACATTCAGGGGCGAGCAGCTGTCCTTCCATCAGCCGGCTCAGTCGCTTGACTCTTTTTGCTGACCATTCTACTTGAAGCGATGTTATTTACAAAACAAACACCTTACCTTGGCAGTTTTAAAGCGGTTTTTACGTTTTTGTCAAGACCGTACGTACACAGACCGTAGTACGTACACGGTACGTACGGTGCATCGCAGCAAGCTGCTATTTTGGAACGCCGTTCCCAAAATGATGGCGAGACATCTATGAAAACGTATCAAGGCTACACGTCCGCTGCATATCCCAACAACTAGCTGTTACTTGAAAGCAAACCACATCAGCAAGGCTATTTGTAAAAAAAATCCACATTAGTATGGCACACGTCTACGTGAAAAGCTTCCATGGAAATCGCCGGAAATTGACCTTTTGTTCCGGTCATCGCTCGCTTCGTTCGTAAGGACGGCGGCGTCACGATCAGCGAGGGCTCGCGATGCTGCCCGCCTGCCGTGGGCAGGTAACGAAGTCAAATTTGATAATCGCCGTGGCTCCTTGGCAGACAAACCCACCCACCGTTTCTCCGCCGTCCAGCGACTGCCGGCTGTCAGAGCTGATCGTTCTTTTCCAATTTAGCAAAAGGTGCCAGCTTATGAAGGTCAGCCAAGCCAAGGTTTCTCTGATTACGAGGCTCAGGGGCAGTATTTTAAGATATAACTAGTCCTGCCTTACCGTTTTATCGGTTTCATTTGCATATAAATTAATCGGCCTTTTTTTTTCTCCCCCCTTCTCCCAATTAGAACGTGTCTGCATATAATCCTGGCATTAATTTAGGCAATTACGTTAAAATGCAGGTGACCGTTAACAATCGCGGGCGAGGATGCTTGCCGTTTGGATCCCGTGCTAAGACGGCGCATTCAAATGGCTTAATCGGCATTAAAAGTTGGGATTAGTTTATTATGGTCTCACCCATTTCAATAATGTTCCGACTTGGGAGCGACGCGTGACGCGCCGCGGTAATGGTTCTCGCTTTGGCATTCGCCCCCCAAAATTAGAAGAGCAAGATAATGAAATCAACACACCGCCCCGGGAAAATGCCGAGTATTTTTCCGTGTCGTTTTAATTCGAACGGTATTTTGTTTACGGAAAAGCCCGTGTCCAGTGTGCACCAGTGCCCGAGGGTTCAACCTTTCCACCCGCAATCCCTGCCGCGGAAATGTCATTACTCAGGCGCTCATTGCGCCATCAACATTTTGATCGTCACGGAAGCGCGCTGGAAGTAAACCGACACGCAGAAGAGAAACATTCAAAGGTCTTTTCTTTGTTGGAGGGCCTTTTCCAGGATGTGCATGGAAATAAAAACAATGTTTGCAATATCGTCACTTTATTCATTTTTACAAACGAGGGTATCTGAATCGAACAAGAATTTCATTTGTTGTCATGTGGATGATGTTTTATATAATACGTACAAGAGTTGATGAAAATTGTATTTTTCAACATGCTGCTTTTTTATTTTAATTTACAACAATTTTATGGGAGGTCTCTCCATCTCGACTGCTTCTCCTGCGGTCTAGAATTCCGCTTGAAATTGGTGCGGTTTAAACTCTGTTGCTGTCCTTATTCAAGTCAGCACTTGAGACCCCATTTGTGTTCACGTGCATCTGCAGATGAGAGTTGCACTTAGACGCTATTTAAATGTAGACTGTGTTGCATTGCAACTTTAGGAAGTTGCACTTTGTCTGCGTCGCAATTTCATCACGAATAAATAAATAAACGTCCACGCGAGGTAGCGCATGCCTCATCATCGGTGTGCCGTGTGTACGCCTAAGCGACCTCCTCTGATTGGATTGCCACCTCGGCTTGATGACGCGAAACCAAACAAATACACAAATTAAAAAAAATCCGTCACGGACTTTGTGAATGCAGCATGGGAAGGAGTCCATTGGAACATGTTACCAAAGTACCGCAGTTCTTGCAAAGTGGTTCAAAGAATGCACGTGTTTTCTTTCTGCTGCAAGACAAACTAATAGGTGTACGCCTCTTGCCCCAACAGAGCTGAGCAGTCCGCCTCTGATCAATGTGAGCGAAGGGTTGGATCGCTCCTTCTTCATCCGCATGAAATCCACGCTCACGAAGCGCGGCCTGCACGTCAAGTCGTCTGGCTACAAGGTCAGTGTCGGAATCGTGCGTCGAGAGTGCAGGCAGCGTAACTGCACCGGGGCCCATGGGCCTTATGGGACCAGGCAGTGGCCTACGAACAAGAGGTAGAAGCTGAACTGGTGGGGGTCTATTTATTCGAGCACAGGCGTCTGAGAGAGAGAGAACTTTGTGGCAAAACAGAATTCACAATGCAGAAGGTCTGGAAGAGAACGTGGCAGTTGAGTGTTGTGGATGGGATTCGGCAAAATCGATTCTGCTGGGTGCGACACTTATGCAGGATCGAGGAGACCGGCAGTGGAATACAGTTTCTGGCGAGTTTCGTGACCAAGGTGGAAGAACTAAGAGCTGACGGTGGGATGCGGTTAGGGTTAGATCTTAGTGGTGGCATCTCTACTCTGCAGCAGCTGCGGGAACCGGAGGAGGGCAGCGAGCGTGCCGAGGGTTGGTGGCATCGAATGCTTTGGCCATGACGATGTCGTAGCGACCTTGATTTTGACCAGGGCCTGTGCCGGCCACGCTCCGCCGCTCCCCGCTGAAGGAACTTCTCAGTGAGTTCTCAGCTCCTTCTCACTTCCAACCCTACCCTGCGGAATTAGTTACCACTGCCGTGTACTGGTGGCGTCGCTTAATTTGAAATAGCCTTAATAATTGCCACTCCGCTGCTTGACACTACGCAGAGTGGATGGTGAGGCGATTGCTTAATGAGCCATGTTGGAGCAACTTATTCAGTCGTTGAAATGTAATTTAATTCGGCGTAACGCTGCATTTTCTCTCGACGCTATTCAATTACGCTTCTTAAGCGAGTTGTACTTTTTTGTGCGGCTCTGGAGGCGCGTGCGACCGCACACTGGCGACCTGTCAGACTCGGGCGTGACCTCGCATATGCCCAGCATGGCAGAGGCCACCCTTCCTCGGTCCGCGGTCACTTTGCCGAGAATGTCTTCCATACGGAATTTTCACGACATACACACACCGTTCTGCTGAAAGTTGAATGCAAAGCACGGCTTTATCTGTATTGATACGTTTGTAATAGCTGCTGGGTGGACGGGTGGGTTTGGGTGGTTGGGTTTTGGTGGGTGAGTTTTGGTGGGTGGGTTGGTGGCAGTAGTCAGCGGCTCTCAGAAGTAAGGGCTTGGCGTTCCCTTCACCCAGCGCTCGTGATGGCAGACGGCACGATCATTATAACTTTGTCCACCATTCAGCCCTCTCTGCTTTGTCACATTGTTTTTGCTTTGTTTAGTTCGTTCTTCAATACTGCCTGCTGCATTAGTTGAGTTTGGAATTATTATCTTTCAACATTTTAACTTTTTTCACTTATTTGCCCGGACGTTTTATCCATTTGCGCTCGATTGCAATGTTTCCCCTGTGCCTTAGCTGTCGTTTACTCATCATTGTTTTCCGAATAACCTTTGTTGTTCAAAATCCTTCCACTTCCCAGCCGTTCCGTCTACTCGTATTTTGCGGGTCATTCATCCTGACGCAGACTCAAGCGCGGCATAAATTGCCGGGTGATTACGGCGGCATAGTTCCTCACAAGGCTTGGGCAGGGCATGATTTCTCCACCCTCAACAGCAATGGGGGGGGGGGGGGGGCGGTGGCAGAAATGAACTATTTTCCAGAGCTCAGCCCTCGACAGCTCAGGCTGAACTTGAGCTTATTTTTAACGTGAGGTTTGCTACTGTCCTGTTCTCAGGATAATAACATGCACTTCACCTCCCATGTTTACAGTTATTTATTTAATTGAACCAGGTGAGAAAGTAAAAGTATCGGGTTATATCTTATAACCCAGTGTGTGTGTTTGTGTGTGAGAACAGATCAGTGTAACTTTATTGACACCAGGCACAGGCTCGGGGGTGGGTCTTACATTCCGCGGCTGCCAATAATCTGTGGAATTGGGTAACAATCGGAGTTTGCGTTGCCACGCGTGATTGCACTCAGCACAGAGGGTCGACGGCAGTCAGCGCGTGGATAGCGGCCAAGAGGCCCTTACCTGCCAAGTGGCTCAGCTCTGCCCGTGGGTCCCAGATGAGCCGCACAAACGATTGGCCAGCGTGATTCTGGAACATTAAATCCTGCGGAAAGTCCATCGGCCAAAAAGTTTTTCAACTTTTATTCTGCCCTCTCGGCACTACTTCCAATTTCTCTGCATTTTTTTCCTTTTTGCCAACTGCTGGCCCACCAGTGCCCATGCCAAAATAGCGCCCAATTATCTGCCTCTGCCGACAAATAACTCGCGTGTACGTTGTAGACAGGGAATGCATCACCTGCACGCGCGTGTGTTTGTTTATGTTTGCTTGCTTTTTGATCGAGGTCGATATCACGAAGCAGCCAAAATAACTGAGCTTTGACGTGTTAATGAATCGGCAAATCCATTCTGGTGCTGCCTATACACTGTACGATTCGAAATAGCTCCATGCACGGAGCAAGCCCCCGTTTCAAATCCATACACCAGATAGATATGTGCCATCGAGGCATTGAGGAGTGCTGTTGGGGGGGAGGGATTGAGTGAAGCCGTTGACAGCCGACACACTCCCCACTCACTTAAAGTACGCGAGTACGATTCGGAACGAACAGGTCGGTGACGAGGCGAGCGTTTGTCGCGTGCGCGCCCAGGTGATCCACGTGGTGGGGCGGCTGAGGGTTCGAGCGGCCTCCTCCTCGGCCGGCGGGACCTCGTTGGGGCCGGCGGGGGTCGATGGCGGCGGCGGCGGCGGCGCCTCGGTCCAGCTCCTGGGCCTGGTGGCCCTGGCGCACGCGCTACCGCCTCCCACCCTGAGCGAGATTCGCATCGACTGCCACATGTTCGTGACGCGCGTCTCCCTCGACCTGCGCATCCTCTACTGCGAGAACAGGTGGGGGAGCGGAGGCGACGTGAAAAACTATGCAACGTTTTTTATGTAATTTTATTTAACTCACTCTGTTGTTGTTCTTGTTGTGGTTGTCGTTGTTGTATCTTCAAATCTTGTAACTGAAGTTTAACCCACTTTCCAATGTGGTATCGACTGAAAACTTGGTGTACTTATGTCATACTGATGACAATACTATATTCTATCATAAAAATATATAAAACATATGTTTGAAAACATTATTTTTTATATGTTATGTTTCGGCTTGGGTCTAATTGTCCACGGTCAACTGACGTTGGCTGTAAATCACCACGGTCCCTTACGTTATGGCAAGCTTCGGGGCCACTTCCTGGAGTCATGGAGTTCTTCCATTACTAGTACGGTACATTTCATTAAAGCGTGTTTTTAAAAAAGTTTTTTTAAATATTACTTATTTAACCAGGTAAGGGTCCACTGAGCTATACAGATATTTTCCAGGAGCAACCAGGCCACTAATTATAGCTCAACAAAATGGCTTATGATGTGGAAATGTATAGCAGGAGCCAAATACTCTAAACGCATGCCGATTCTAAGTGTGGAGGGAAAAACCGGAAGGCACGGAGAAAAATCGACACGACCACAGGGAGAAAAACATGCAAACTCAGGCGTTGAGGGTCGCGATTGAACTCACAACCTCCTGCATACCATGCGAGGGAGTTAACATCTCGCCACCACGGCGCCCGAGTCCCTGCTCTGCCGTTGCTACAGGTGGTGGATATCCGACCAAAGCTGTGCCAGGAACGGGCCGGCACGGCACGATTGTCGTGTCAAGGCTTTGTGACCTTTGACCCTCCCCTCCCATCACCCCCTTCACCCCCTGCTTGCCTTGTGGGACCAAAATTCACCTATTTCATATATTTATGTTTTCCATTCGTGGTAGTTTTACTGACAAAAGTGTCGAGTTATTGTTATCTTTGTTTGTGCACCACTGCCAAAGCAGTATTACAAGCACATGAACAAAATTCAGATTTTTGTCAGACACGGTTGATTGCATGCTTGGGTTCGCTTACATTATTCAAAGTTAAAATCTTGCCTTTTTAACTTTTCGGCTGGGATGCCATTGGCGACGTATCCTATTTCCACGTGGACGTAATGACGTAACGACTGTTCCCGAGGGTGATCGACTAAAAGCGTGTAGCTTCCTTGCCAAGGCAGACTACAATGTCCTCGTCGGAGCCGCCTAGCTGCCGTGAGGATTCGGGCTGCGTCCACTTTCCCTGTTCGGGAAACAAGCCACCCGACTCCTACGAATGGCTGTGGAACTCATCACGAGCATGATTAGGGTTTGCGTACAAAACCAGAGATGGGGCTTGGGTCATGGATAAGGCTCAGTGTGTTCGGTGCTGGGTAGCTCATTTGTTAGGGTGAGTGTCAGGGCTGGGATCTGATCAGCTGGCTGGCTCTGCCCTCTGTTTGTTTGCAATGTTCCCCAACTGCCAAGAATTGTCTTTTCACTTTGTCTCTGTGACCGCTCGCATAAAACACAGTTGTGTTGAGTGATTTCTTTTTTTCATCCTGTAAATTGATGGGACATTCAAAAAACAAGATCTCTTATTGGAATACAAATGAGCCATCCGTATGTTACGCGTGATGCACACAGAATATATTTCGTCATTTGAATCTCACTATGCCGCGCAGAAAACATTTTGGCAATCATCAGGCATGTGCGGCTGGTAACTGCTTCACTTATATGTGAACGGAGGTAAATTGATCTATTGGTGCACCGTGGTGGGCCGTGAGGACTGGAGTTTGAGAACCCTGCTTGAGCCCACCGATCGCTGTCAACAGTTAATTATGTTTTTGCGGATCATTGTGCAACAGTGTTGATGTGTTATATAATTGTTGTTAATGCTGTGGATGTTAGTGATATGTCGTATTATGGTTGTTGTTGTTGTTGTTTATGTTGCGATTTAAAGTAGGTCAGCCAGCGAGTGTCAGTTGTTAAACGAATCCTAAGAAATCCATAAGCTTGCAATTAACTTAAGTTTTATCCCACGCAAATGCAGAGGCAGTGCTCGTAACATATACTTCAAAATTAAAACTACTCTAAAAGTGCAGTAAAATGTTAATTAGCCTTAAAATACAACTTTCTTTTCATTGGCTCAAATAAAATTAAACAGTTGCGCAATGGCCAGTAAATATATGGCATATTGTGAAAAAGAAGAAAAACAAGCGGCAGTTTCTGCGACAGTTCCACAGAGAATCTACCCACGGCCTTGCGGGGGGCACCAGCAGCGCGCGGTTTAGAAACACTGCTCTAGACGATGTCCACCTCTGTCCTACGTTGATTCGTTGGCCGTTGCGTGTGATCGCTCTAGATGATGTGCCTTGCATGCTGCCCCATGCAGAGTGAGCGACTATCTAGACTTCGCCGCGGAGGAGCTGGTGGGGAAGAGCTGCTACCACTTCATTCACCCGGGGGACGTGGAGGGCATTCGGCTGAGCCACCTCGACTGTGAGTGCATCCGCCCGTCGTCCCTCCTGCGTGAACTCGCCCGCCCGCCCGCCCGCTCACTCGCTCACCCGCTCGCCCTCATCTCTACGTCGCCCATGAGAGTCGCGCGAGGTCGTCGTTCGCCGGGAGTGCCGCGTCGGCCTGCGCACTCCACTGTCAAGTGAACCACTTGTCAAGTTCTCGCGGCTGCCTCAAGTCCAAGTGCGGCTGCCTAGCTGGGTTGGGCTGCAGCCATCTACGGGCAGTGGTCGTAGCAAAACAGTTGAGAGCAGAAACGTTCAACACGTGACCTACCCTGGAAAGCTGCACTTGGATTTAAAAAAAATTATTTACTGCTTCATCAGAAGGAGATTGATGAAGGAGATAAAGATGGAAATGATGATTATGGGAATTATGGTGATTGATAGTGCTTGATCATGATGATGATGGTGGTTATTATTAAGTGCATTGGTTATCTCTGTTGACTCCCTAACAAGGTATTGCCCAAACAGACCAATGCAGGGCCTTGCCGATAGAGAGTCTCGAGAATCAGTGTGGCTTTCCTGGATAAATAGATTGCAGTTGAAGCAGTCTAGCAGCAGCACTGAGCGGTCTCGTGGTAGTAATCTGTACACAGCAGTAAGTGTTGCGGCGATCTGGTGAAAGTGTGCATGGCTCTGATAGAAGTGACTTTGGTTTGATCTCCCCGTTTTCTATCGTCAGTCCACATATTCCAATTTTCAGGGCATCCCTAGGAAGAGCTTTGCACCTTCCTGCCCCATCTGCTTCCTTGCAGACGTTAATCTCTCCACGATGCCTCCTTCTAAAGTAGGGCACCATGTGCCGCTACTGTTGCCAAAACGTACTCATGCCACATCTAAGCCGCAATGAAAACAAGATCGTTTGTAGTGCCGCAGACGAGCAAACGCTTAAACACAAGCTTCATGAAAATAGATTTTCTGTCAAGGCAAGGATCGTTGGATAATTTCTGAGCGTGACCGTTTATTTTATTTGACCATCGGCCGCTGGCAGTGGTGGCATCGCTGTGAATTTGGCAATCGGAGCACGAGCGAACATTTGACCACGGTCGGGGTCTCTGTGGGTGTGGGTTTAGGGCGCTGTAAATTCACGATGCATTCGGGCTTACGGACCCAGAATTCTTGCCAAAATGCCCAACACTCCGGCGAATTGCAATTGCGACATGGGCATCCGAGACATCGACACGCGCCCCGCATACACTGCAGCGTTCTCAGAAATCCCTTCATTTTGGCAGTGGTAAAATGCACTTTTGGTTTATCATCCAACCATCAGACAAGGATTTGCGGCGAGTTATTTATTTATCTGTGCCACAGGAGTTGCGGCGGTGGGATTCACGTCGGGAATTTCAAAGTCATTAAAATTTTGAGAATCTTGTTACCCTGAGGTCGGTTGGGGGGGGGGGGGTGGGGGGACCGACCGCTGGTAGAAGATGCCCCTCGGGGACTCCGGAGATGCGAGGGTCACTGGAGAGCCGAACGAGTCCGCGTGCCCGGCGTCGCAGAGCTGTTAGGAACCGCGCCACGCGCTGCAGACGTCTCCGCCGAGCACTGGCAACGGGCAGGGCTTGGCCACTTTCGCCCGTCGGCTCTCGCGCAGTTTCAGTCCCAGAATTCCCTGCGCTGTCGCATAGCGCGGCACGGTCTCGCAGTAAATACGCAGGTGGCGGCGATGATGCTGGGTATCGGAGTTTTTTTCACATTAACTGGTTGTTTCGCCCTAACTAGTTGTTTTGCTATAACCCAGTTGTTTCGCACTAACTAGTTTTTTCATCAAAATAAATGTGGTGACTGTTTTTGACGGGCAGCAGTAGGCTTCGTATAAGTATTCTCAATTTAGAAAATTACAACATTTTCATAAGTATTCAATTTTCCATGTAGGCGTCTGCCATCTGAATTTTCAGTGCGGCTCAATCTGATTTTTTTTTTCTCCTCGGTGAAAATGTTCTGTTTACACAGAACTCCGCCGTTTGTTTCCTATTAGCGTGATACAATGGCCAATCACTTCTCACTGATTACAATAAATTGCTCAAATTGGTTTTTCGGTTTATGCAGAAATGTGTTGCAATGGGGCTTTCAAAACGGGGTGTCCAATTTGCATTCTATTAACGGATGGTCCTTGACCAGGGCGACGTTACAGGTCAGGGAGCCGCTCCCAAAGCAGACATTACTCGTGACTGCGCCTACGATGGCGTTGTTTTCAGGGCGTTTGTAACACGGGATGCAATCTTTTTGGGGATAAATTACTTCCAAAGTTTGCGCTGCATATTTTCCCCGCACAACATATTAGGCAATAAATAATGCAGAACACGGTTTATTTCTATTCTGGGGCGAAGGAATAGAAGCAAGTTTTTGCTCAACAGAACTTAAAAGCAGGAAGAAAATCTTTTCAAATTACCTTGAGCCTGAACGCTGTAAGATTTAATATTAATTGCAAAGAAGCGGTGAGAATTTTCTCCGAATAACCCAAGGACTTGGTGCATCTCCCCATGGGCACGAGCGACTGGCTGGTTTTCTGTAAAGCAATCGCCACTAAATGATGTGACAGTTTAATTACTCCGTTTGCCATTTCCCTGCCAGAGCAGCTAATAGAAGCCATGGTGATAGCAGTGCTGAGTTTGTGTGTGGGTTTCAAAGAGACGGAAAAAAATTGGAGTAGAGGAAAAACTCTATTTTCTCCACCGCCCCTCCCCCCCTCTCTCTCTCTTCCAACACAAATTGTTACATGTGATTACTCTTTTTCGTGTGAAATCAATTACAGGCCAGCCATATTGCTGAGCAGCTTGATAACTCTGTTTCTACTTAGGAAGAAGTAGAACATATACATGTAGCATATAAACAGTTTTTTATATTGAAATGTAATGTTCCAGGCAACTTTGACTCTTGTTTTGTTCATAGTCATCATTGTCAACCGTTAGGTAAAGCCAAACTTACCGCCTAATCCAAGGCGGACGCTTTGTTCGCACCGCCCAATCGCATATGGTAACAAGAAGTCTGCCTAGCCAATGAAAACAGAGTTTGTTGTAAAGTGTGTGCTATAAACAGTGATTGGCCTACAGGGCATACAACCTCGGGTAGTCATGTGACCTTTGCCTGTAAGCGGATTGGAAGTTATTCTCGTAGTTGCCCAAGGGGATCAGCGAAGTACATTTTATGAGTAATTTTTTTAGTCTTAATTGCATAAAATTGCAATAACAAATGTTCTGGCAACCGTTGCAAGTGGCGATTACCAGCAATGATTACCCGAAAGCTTATCTAGTGCATAGTTCTTCAACTATATTTTCCAGTGGGCCTCAATAAAATTGGCCATGTGACACGTCACGTCGTCCCATGGCGTCGTGACGTCATAATGCCTGTAGACGTGGCGGCGAATCTCTACCCCTTTCCCCCAACTTTCTCATGTCTATCTCTCATTTCGATCTCCCTGTCACCTCACCAATCTCTATCTCTACACTTCGGTGGGCCCCTAGCTCAGCGGGACCACTCTTAAGCTCCTTCACGGGCCTTACGGGGCCCACGGGGCCGCCAGTTGAAGAAGAAGCCTGAAGTCCCCTCGTCCATCATTGGCCTCGGGCGCCTGCACTGCCCCCCGTGCCACCACGGCTCTGCAGCACCGACAACGACGCGGGGCGCGTGCCGGGGGGGGGGGGGGGTCTCGCGCGGCACTGAGCGGCGGCGCTCATCAGCGGCGCTCGTGTTGTGCCCCGCAGTGCTCAACAAGGGCCAGTGCGTGACGCGCTACGTACGCTGGCTGCAGAAGGGCGGCGGCTACGTGTGGGTGCAGTCGAGCGCCACCGTCAACATCAACACCAAGAACGCCAACGAGAAGACCGTCATCTGGATCAGCTACATCCTCAGGTGCGTGGCTTTTTATGACGTCCGCATGCTCGTAAACGTTACTCCCGATCCGGAACAATAACGGAGCAGCCGCCGGGCAATGGAGCGTGCCCTAGGTGGAGGAATCGATGGGCGAATTGGGATATTCACGGTTTTGGTTTCCCCGCGCACTTCTCTCGTCAATAGTAACACGGAGGACAAGGACCTGCTGATGGACCTGCAGCAGCTGCCGCACCACGCGCGGCAGCCGTCCGAATCGGCAGAGCCCTCCGAGTCCGACTCCGACTCCAAAGACAACTCAGGTATCGATCGACGTCGGGCAAGGTGTGAGAGTCGGGATGGATACGCGTGCCTCGGCCGGAGGGGAGCTGTCCAGGCCGCTGTCGGTCCCTTTGTCCTCAGCCAACGACTCGCAGTGCCCCTTCCTTTCCGTAAAAATAAATCTGGCCACTGTTTGTGCTCGGCGGCTTGAGATGCGCTCCCGTTCAAGACGCTGCTCTATAAATCCACATTTTATTGTATTTTAGGTGCTGTTGTGGTGGAGATGGCCAGATGGCTCAGAGGTCAGAGGACGAAACCAGCTGAATCCCTGGGTTAGACTCCTAGCAACCGCGTATTTTCATAAACCAGGTCTTCAAATATTTTGATTTGATGGTCTCAGCCCAGTTGTCCATGACGAGAGAAATAAGAAATCATGTTAGGTTCGTTTTTGTGCTTACTTTGGATAAAAGCCCGCTCTGAGAATTCAAAATATCCATTTTACTCTCATACGATCAACAATCCCATAGCAGAGTGAAGGATATTTCAGTCCTGGGGAAAAAAATCTATTCTGCAGCCATTCTCTGACACATGGGACACACGGCTCTGCGAGATTTCCAACACAAGGATTCTTCTTTGCACCGCACAATGCCTGTAGCAAAACATTGTAATCAATTCAGGGGGATAAAATACCAATTATAATTTCTTTCGCGTTATCAATGTGTTGCCGTTTTCTTTCAGACGAGCATGAATCCATGCATCCGCACAAGCGGCAGAGAAGACAGAGGGAGGAGGACGAGGAGTGGACGAGCCCCCTGTGCCGCAGCCGGTGCCTGGTGGACCCCATCATGACCCAGGGCGAGAGCAGCGGCGCCAGCAGCCAGGGAGAGGACAACGAAGAGGACGACGATGACGAGAAGAACGGGAGAACTTTGGACGGCTCGGACCACGAGGTGGAGAACGGTCACGCGGACGGATACGCGTTGGGCCTGAGCTCCTCCAGCATCAAAGTGGAGCAGCTCAGCATGAAGTTCTCGGCCGGCGGGCCCACAAAAGGCCTTCATGACAAGATGTGCTCAGGTCGCCTGAACGGAAACGACCGGAGCCACCCAGAGCAGTCTTCCGCAAAACCGCTCAAGCAGAGGAAACCCAAACGGCGCAAGAGCAAGCGCCTGCTGCAGCAGATGCAGTGCAGCCCGGCCGAGTCGGTCGCTTACGCATCGTCCCCCAGCCTCTCTTCCCCACACGGGCAGATAAAGACCGAGAAGCCGGAGCACGTACATTTCATCGACGGCAGCGTTTGGGACAGCCCTCTGAACCGAGACATGGCGAGGAACGACCTTCCGTACTGCATCGTGAGCCCCTCGCCCGACGCCCAGCAGCACTTCCTGTCGGCGCAGACGAGCCTCCACGTGGCCATCCCAGACTCGGTGCTCACGCCGCCCGGCCCGGACAGCGCCACCAGCCAGCGCTCCGCCTTCGTGGCGTCGCCGCAGCCCGGCGCCGCCTCCGTGACGCTTGCCGGCTCCGACCCGCTCTCCCCACCGCTCTCGGCCTCCCCGAGGGAGGGCAAGCCGGGGCCGGCGCCGTCCAACGTCAGCCCCGCCGCCGCGTACGACGTCAGCCCCGCCGCCACGTACGACATGGAGAGCCTCGAGCTCCCCCAGGACGCCTCCTCCACCGCCGCCGCCGCCGGCATCGCGGCTGCGGCGGCCACCGAGGGCCCCGGCGCACCGTCGCGGGGTGCGTACGCCGGCGGCACCATCCGGTACGCGCCGGCCGACCCGACGCTGGGCGCCGTCGAGGAGGGCGAGGACTCGGACTCGCAGAGCGACGGGCCGACGGGCGACCGGCTGCCCGACATCGGCGATGCCAACTACGGCGGCTTCGAGGCCAAGGCGTCGATGGAGATCCTGTACCAGCGCATGCAGCAGATCGGAGTGCCTACCTCCTTCCCGTCCGTGTCGCCCGGAGGCGGCGGGCAGCAGCACCTGCCGGCCGTGTTCGTGACATCAGACGGTTACCTGGCGAACATCCCGCTGCAGCTGTTCAGCAGTGGCGGCGCGCAGCAGTCGAATGCGCTGGACGACGAGGAGGACTAGGGGAGGGGTGGGCGCGGAGCGGCGTACACGTGGCGGGAGTGTTTACAAGCTTTTGTTATGAGAGGGGCCCGTATGCTGAATACAGTTGAAGCAAATATATTTTACTCTAAATGATGTGTTACATGGCAGAAAAAATTAAGTCAAACTTTCCTGGTTATTGCATAGGTCCATTAACATGTGAAACGTTTAGATGGCCAGTATATTTTCGATATGAGATGAGTTTTATGCTGTTTTAAATGCCGGTGGCAATTTTTAAAGGAAATTCAACTCTATATATATAGTATTTGTGTTCAAAATGGCACTTATATTCCCACAGGTCAAATTACCTAATTACAAACTCGTTATCATATTTGTCCTCACTGTGTCAGAGGCCTTACACATTCTCTGTGTTCAGGAAGTCCTACCTGGCTCTGGTTCTCACGTTGGACCAGTTGCAGCGTTGCACATTGACAGAATCAAATAGCGTTCGACGGCTGCACCCGAGTTAATGCTCTTTGCACACGAACACCAACATGTCAGCCTGACAGGCACGGCCACAGTTCTGCGTTTGTTAGTCCAGACGCTCTGCATCACAAGCAAATAGAATGCTGCTCATAGGGCACATATAAACCAAGCTCTGCGATTGCCGCATTGCATTTCAAGCTGGGAGCGGCGTGGGGGGGTGAACAGTGTTTGGTCTTGCTACCGTATTCTCTCCTCCCGGCTCGGCAGGAGGGATGTGCTGTGAGCTCAAGCCTGCCAAGAGACTGATCCCAAATCCCGAAAATATCCGGGAGTATTCGCCCTCCCGATGACGCACGACGGACTGGCTTTTCGCGAAGCCCTTTCTTCCCACGGCGGCTTGACAAAAACTAAACCACAAGAACAACAAAAAACTATTTCTCGGAACACCTCTGCAGCCACTGTGACTAATACGCCCATGTGCAATGTGTGTGCCGTGTTACGGAGTCGCGGGATCTAGCACAAGTCTGTCGCGTTAGCTTATTGCCGTTTGAATATTTGTGTGTGCCCACTCTTTTTATTGAACGTCGCGTCGCGCACCGCCGATGTGTGCCCGTGTCTCGTGTCACCTGCGTACCCTTACGGTGTTTACCATGTCCGTGCTGTCCGCTTATAGCCGTCATCTCATCCTTTAGTTAATTGCCGGTGGTTTTGTTAGGAGAACCGTTGCTGCGTCGAGTCTGTGTGCGTGTACACGAAATCTCGCGGTAGAGATTTGAATCTCGCGGTAGAGATCTGTGTCTGGTTTTGTCCTTCCCGAGGTCGAGTTTCTGGTGTTGTTAAAGAGTACCGTGTACTTTGCTGACGACCACCGTTCCTTCAGAAGTAAGATTGTGCAAACGACCAAGGTGGCGGGGCAACGCGCACGCGACGCACACGGCAAAGCATTATCTTTAAGGGTTCCTCCAGAAAGTTGTGTAAATAAAAACCCAGAGTGGGCAGGGGGAGAAGGAAGGGGTGGTGAGACAATAAAAAAGTATATCAGAGGGGGGACGTTACACGTGAAGGCGTCCACGATTATAATGAGAGGGTTAGTTTTCTTCATCTGTGGAAGGAACCGTCCCGTTGAGGACAGAGAAGGGTTTGACAATCAGCTTGCCAGATGGTGTTCACGTATTTTCCTTTCGCAACAAGCAAATACATTTCTACTTGTGAAAATTAAATGCTACTCGTATTGGGAAAGTCGCGCACGCACACAAGGACAATTTCAAATAAGGCCCAACATTTCACACTTGTACATTTTCAACGCGCTAAAGAAGGGCCTTTCGCCGCAACGGGAAATGTGATCTCATTCGTGTCAAATCAACGCAGGAAGTCTCCTTTGTAGAGTGCTGAAAGATTCATCATTGCAGGCCACCGCGAACAACCATCGCGCCGAACAGCGAGTGGCTGCTTCGTTCCGCTGATGGGTCTAGTCTCGATCTGAAGAGGACAAAAAGCTCTTCACGCCTCTTTGTTCACACTTTACGATCCGTTAAGTTTTCCGCAAGCATACTTAATTTTACAGATACGAAGGCGTTTGAACAAGTGGTGATTTGAGTTTTTCATTTGCTTTTAAAGGGTGATGACTTGATGTACCGTAATTGTTTATTGTTTGAAAGATAATGTGGTAGCTGGTAACGTTTATTAATTTATAAATGACCTCGTTGTGGTGTTACAATTGTACATAAGTGGTTGGTCCAGTCGCACTGCTTTGTTTTAAGAAGGTGCCACGTCTACACACAATGTACAAATCTTACTCAGTCAAACTGAGGCTAATATTCATTCAGCTTGTTAGAGGGGGAACAAAAGATGTACATTTATAAATGTTTCTGGTTTTTGTAAGCACACTTAAATTTAACTAATTGAGGTAACATTTTCGTAATTGTCTTTGTATGGGTCTGTCTGCTGGCGATCAGTATTTTAAAAAACAACGACGAAAAACTCAAAAAAATGTGAAGTTATTTTTAAGTGCATGTATGGAGTCTGTGTTCCGCATGTCAGCAAAAAATGAGAAATAAAATATTGTACAGACTGCAAACCGTGTCCACTCTTGGCTTGCGCGTGCTGTACTTTCAGGGCCGTGGCGCGTCGGACGAAAGAAGAGAGGTTAAACCGTGAGGAGAATTGCCCAATTATTGCCAGGGCTTGAGATCATTAGCGCATGAGGACAAAACCACTGCATGGTGACCAGGAGGTGGACGTCGATTGAAAGTGAGCCAAACCCAAAAGGCCACGGGGTATCTGACAAAGCGTTCCCGAAGTACGGTTCAACCCATGGGTATTTTGTTTGGCGATGATCACGTGAAGCAGGCTGGCCACGTATCCATTCCACTGCCTGACGATGCCTTCTGTACGTTGCATGCCTCCTCCCCATCCTCCTCCACCTGCCAGTGACTGATTTACCCAATCATTCACGATGACGTGGAGACAAATCTGACCGTAACCCCAATCCTTGCCAAAGCTCCTTAGCCAAACTTTCACATTACCAAGGTGAGTGTAAGTCAAGCATGACTTTGTACTTGAAACCCTTCAATCACATGGCACATTTGCACAAACGCCCCTAAAAATTTTACTTTTACATTTTCATTTCCGTTTCACATGCGCGATACATCCACGATGATTTGTTTAAAAAGAAAAAATTACGTGCAACGGATTGTAAAAAAAAATCAAGAACAACTTTGCAGGTGAGTAGCAAATAGTGACGCTCACGACTTCATAGTTTGCTTCACGAATTCATCCCCTGCCGCTGCGATAACAAAACGGAGTATTATTCCGCTTTAATGCCGCCCGTTATTTCCACATCACAGCAGCTGCACACGATCGCCTTTAATTCGGGTAATTTAACCGCGCCTACGGTTTGTGATGGACTGGCTAGCAGGTGATTACAATCACCGCTGTAAGAGGGTCAAATTTGTTAGAGCCGCGACAGTGAATGACCTCAAAGCCACTTGGCACGATTTCGTGCATCAGATGCCGAGCTGCTGCTGCTGCTGCTGCTGCTTTAGGCTCCAATCACGCGTACCTTGGAACCGTGTCTGAAATGCTGAACGGTGATTTTCAAAAACCGATTTTACTCCCGATTATTTGCCGCTCGTGTGTTTTGACTTTTAAGTAAACAGCGGTTTAATATATAAATTTTGGGTAATTACCCTTGCAGCTTTTGTTTATTACATGTAATTATGCTAATTATTTTCTCGCCTGCAATTGGGCACACCTGAATGTGCCTTAATTAAGCTGTCTAATGAGCCATGTGTGGATGAATTAGGCGTAGGTTAGCTGGGGAAAGCCAGGGAGCATCCGCGCTGTGTGTTTGATCCCTTCCCGACCACATGTGCAACCTCCCCCCCCCCCCCCCCAAAAAAAAACTTTTAATTAGCTTCAAAAATGAGCTGCCTTGATGTTGAAATGAATTTTAAGGTTTCCGAAATGTCAATTTAATGATACAACAGACTGGGAAACTTTTTTTCAGAGTAATTTCCCCGACGCTGCAGGTAAAATTCGAATCTCATTTTAATTGTGCTATACATAATGCGTATTTGCTGAGAAAGCGGAGGCAAAATGAGCATATTTCCTCTATTTATACTAATTTTAATTTAATGGGTTCATCAGCGCGATTGGTAATTGTCATCGGCTGGCTGGGGCTGCTCTCAGCGAACCTTGGCGTTTGAGCGACGCACTCCGCCTTCTCTCCATCTCCGCGCCGCCTCTCAAACCGTACGCCTCAAGACACAGCGCGGTCATTTATAATGCGCCGTGCACATTAAAAAGTTGCCCGTTTATGGGCAATGTCGCGTTGTTTTTTTGCTAACTTTCAGATAAATAGCAGTTAGCGCTGAAAAACACTGCCATATGCCGCGCCTCGCACAGAAGATGCATTCGTCACAATGGCTCCAAAGGCTTGTGGCTGGGTATGCGTCTGTTCTAAGAGCCTGCGATCAAAGCACGGCCACCGATAAGTAAGCCCCCCCCCCCCCACCGCTGAAGTTTGTCATGACGCTATAATTGAGCGGCAGGCACGAGTAGGGCCAAGACGACGTTGCAGAACGTGTCAGTGGGTGCGACAGCCACCACGCGCAGACACGAGGAGGAGCCGGCCGTGGACGGAGTCGACACGCTCTCACCTCGGCAGCGTCGGTGCGGCTGCTCCGCGTCGACGCGACCCTGAGATCCAAAAAGGCAGACTCAGCTCTCGGCCCCTACTAGTTTGCGCTTCATTGCTCAGGAGACCTGGGGCACGGTGGGCATCCGACGTCAAAGCGTCTAATATTCGCTGTCAATGGCACATCCTTGGGATCACGTGGTCTGACTTCATCACAAATGTCACCGTGACATCCCGCGCTGGTCTCGCCCACATGGAGGAGAGCCTCCTCATCCGACACCGCCGTCTGGGCCTATTCGGGCCACGCGGCTCGTCTGTAAGCAGGCGGATGTGGCTCAACCTCGCCCTGCCCGGTGAGGGTCCAAGATCAGATCCCGGATCGAAACCCGATCCTACGTGGGCTGACCTGGAGCTCGCAGATCGTCGTGTTCGACGATGACGTGGGCCTTGCCTACCCAGGAGGGCCCGGCTAGGGGACTACGGATCTTGGCGACATCTGGAGGAACATTCCAAACGGCCCATTGATGGCCATGCGAATGCTACTGCCAGTGGGGACATTAACCCAAGTGCCTAAGGGCAGCTTAGATAAAATACACAGGCGTGAAATACCAGGCAGTGCAGCCCTATTATTGCCGTGACACAGCGGCCCAACGCACACAATCTACTCGTGCAATTCAAGAGCGCTCACATCGAAGCGGCACACGCGGGTAGGATCGGCCTTCAACGAGCGCTGCTGCAGCCACTTTCCGCCTCAAGAGGCCCTTTGCTGTTCAAACAAATTCACCATTTGTTGGTACCAAGGCCAGAGCAGCCAGTAGCAAGCACCTGTGTTTGCAATTTTCTCTCATCCACCATCCACCGCCACTCACAATTTCCCCTGACTGAATCAGACATATTTTTATTTATGTATGGTTGTTTCCGCAGGAAAGCATCATTGAACCTCAAGACATTTTATCAGGAGGGTCCTGCCAAGTGTTTGCAGCCAGACCGACGTAGCTGCTGTGCGATATCCCAATTGGGTACTTACACGTAATTTTCAGCATTTGGGATGTTTGACCAACACCGTTTATAACAAATTGCTACGTAAGGTAACCATAGAACTTTGGAGGAAAATGCCCACAAAACAGGGAGAGAACGTGCAAACTCACTGCACTCATTACATATATATACTGGACCGTATTCTCTGGATTATAATGCGCGCAACTTTTCCCCTGTGTTATAAAGCGAATGTTGGGGCCGAGTCTTACTTACAATGCAGAGAACATGGTGTTGTGTTTGTTTTGGACACGTGGAAGCATGAGAGGTTTATCTTGAGGCAAAGGACAAACATAAAACTAGAAATGTGGGAACATTAAAAATGTATTGTGTTGTTCTTGTTGTTGTTAGAACCGTATAGGTAAGTAAATAAATAAGCTTCACTTCATTTCTCCACACACCTCACTCCGCTGATGAGACCCAATCGGTCATGGCCGGTGCAGAGTTTGCTTGTTTGAACGATTTCTGCAGGGTAATATTGGTCCGGGAAGCCAAGAGGATGATGGACTAAAACTATTTTTTGCAGATAAACGAACATATGTCTGTCTGTTTATGGGAATATAATGTTGAATGATTGGCGAATAACGTTGTTTCTTGTGTATAACACGTATGTACGAATGCAGCCAGCAAAATGTTTGCCTCGCTTTATGCAGGTTCCGTTCGTGCGTTTCAACGTATATGCGACGAAGCTATTTTACCCAAAATTCGCTGCATGCGGTTTGAATTCACTGATATATCTCGTGCGGATTTGCTTTGTGCGCCTTTTTTTGAGCGGAAGAGGGCACACCTAATTGAAGCAAATATCAGCTACACGTAATTTCGGGGGAAATTGTACAGAACGATTGTGTGGAGTGAACGTAACACAAAGAGTCGAAGACCAGACTTTCAGCTTCAGAATCCAGCCGCTCCTGATCCGGAAACCCCATCACAAGCAGGGCTACACCTGACCGGCAATAGTAGTATCCGCCTGTGCAAGCTTGTAAGGAGTATTCGTGATCCGATGTGCTTTTAGTCCTCGTCTATCGCCGGTCGGGTACACCGGGCGTGGTGAATGAGCAGACATCACCCTGGGGTATTGGTGGCATTTCATTTAGCACAAGCCAAGTGATGGGACCTCTCTTGGCACCGTTCAGCTGCGACAACGTGGCCCTGTGCCACCATCTGGCAGACGCCCTACGGCCACGGATTTTACCGTCGGCTTGAGGTAGCCTCTGGCCCGGAAGCCTCTGGAGTGGATCCGTTCTCATGGGGTGACCCCCCCCCACCCCCGAGTCCCCACCAGGGCACCACGTGATGAGTAACGCAACAACAACAACAACGATAATTGGTTTAATACCCTTCTATCTGGCAACAAAACTGACACCTTTTTTTTACAAGGAGTCATGTTTGCATAGACCACAATACCTGCGGTCGTAATGCAAAAAAAAACATAACTCTGATAATGTGCGCCTTTTGGCGTCATCTGGTCCAACCTATGTGAGACTAGGCTCTAAGGAAAGCTGTCTCGGGTGTGGACCAATCAACTTCAAGGACAGTGCACATTATCAGAGTTGTGTTTTTTGTTTGCATTATGACTGCAGGTATTGTGGTCTATGCAAACATGACTCCTTGTAAAAAAGGTGTCAGTTTTGTTGCCAGATAGAAGGGTTAAAAACCAATTATCATATTTTTAGTGGCAAATGAGGTTCCAATGGAACAACAACAACATCGCTTCAAGTCGACCGCGGCAACGAGGTTCCATCGAAATCGTGAACCGTGCGACAATGTGGAGCCAGTGGAGAAGATGGAGCGAGAGCCACGAGTGTGTTGCGCTGGATTGCCACTGGACGGATCGAACGCGTGATGAGTTCGACGCGACATTTTTTTTTCTGGATAC